GGGCACGGGGTTCCGGGAGGGGCTGGGGTGGGCACGGGGTCCCGGAGGGGCTGGGGTGGGCACGGGGTTCCGGGAGGGGCTGGGGTGGGCACGGGGTTCCGGGAGGGGCTGGGGTGGGCACGGGGTTCTAGGAGGGTGCTGCGACAGCAAGTTCACGAAGCCCCTCGAGGGTCGGGCCCCTTGGACTCTGCGCCCCGCAGCGGCCCCCGTCTCTAGGATGGGGCCCACCACCCCAGGTCATTCCTACCCAGCAGCACACGCTCTGGGCCGGGCTCCCAGGCCCCACAGCCCGTGGGCTGACCCCAGCCGGGCCCTGGGAGCATGGGCCTGCCTGCCCCTGATGTCCCCCTCCACGCAGAGCTCCAAAGTGCTGGCCAAGAAGGAGCTGCTGTACGTGCCCCTCATCGGCTGGACGTGGTACTTCCTGGAGATCGTGTTCTGCAAGCGGAAGTGGGAGGAAGACCGCGACACCGTCGTGGAGGGGCTGAGGCGCCTGGCTGACTACCCGGAGTACATGTGGGTGAGTGCGCCCTGCGGCCGCCACGCGCCCCGCCACGGCCGCGCCACCGAGGGGTCGCAGCTGCAGGCTGTAATCCCAGCCACTGAGAAGCCCAGGGCCGAGGACTGCGGCAAACAAACCCGCACAAAGCCGAAGTGGAGCTGTGGCTCAAGTGGCAGAGACCTAGCTTTAAACACAAAAGTTCAGGGACAGTGCTCAGATCCTGAGTTCAAGCCCCAGGACCAGCACGTACACACACACACACACACACACACACACAAACATACACACACACACAAACACACACAAACATACACAAACACACACACAAACATACACACACAAACACACACACAAACATACATACACAAACATACACACACAAACATATACACACATGCACGCACACACACACGCACACCCTCCTTCAGGCTCTCCCTTGGGCTCTGCTCCATCTGTCCACAGCACAGCTCGGTCCGCAGAGTCTGGCGGGGAGGGCTGGTCACCCTGAGCCTGTGGTCCGAGTCCTTTCCCCTTTTCTAGTCTTTTCTTGGAAACGACTTAATCAACAGTTCCCAGGGCTGGGGTGTGGGAACGGGTGACTTTCTGTCTTCCACTTTCTGCTGCCCAGACTCACCTTTGGGCTCACTTCTTTCTAGAAGGTTCTTGGAGGAAAGCTAAACCATGTGTGTCTGTGTGACTGCAAAGCAGATCACAGCCCTGAAGTAAGGTGGCACTTCCAGTTACACGTGCTGTCACCAGGGAAAGCGCTGGGCGTCTGTGGGCGCCTGGCTGCGAGGCTTGGGGCGCGGGGCTCCGGCCTCCTGGCCCCCGGTGAGCCTCTGCTCACGTCCCGCCCCCTCGCCCAGTTCCTTCTGTACTGCGAAGGGACGCGCTTCACCGAGACCAAGCACCGGGTCAGCATGGAGGTGGCAATCTCCAAGGGGCTGCCTCCGCTCAAGCACCACCTGCTGCCGCGCACCAAGGGCTTCACCACGGCCGTGCAGTGCCTGCGCGGCACAGGTAGGCCAGCAGCCCGCACACACGCCCGCACCGAGACCGGGGCCGCGGAGGGGGGGGCCGCACAGCGCTGTGCTCACCTGGTGTGAGGCCCTCGCGCTGCTGCTCCGGTGACCAGCACTGGTTTGTGGGAGACAGTGGAAGGCATCCAGTGCAAAGCAGGAAACCCCAAAGCCATGGAGTTTTCTGAGCGGCAGCCGCGCCCACAGGCTCAGGCAGGCTGCAGCCAAGGCCGGGGCGGAAGCGGGGAGCCGAGGACGCCGCTGCCCGGAGGGGCGACGGCCGCCCGGCCGCCCAGGCCCACACGCGTGTCCGTCTCCCGCAGTCGCCGCGATCTACGACGTGACGCTGAACTTCCGCGGGAACAAGACCCCGTCTCTGCTGGGCATCCTCTATGGGAAGAAGTACATGGCAGACATGTGCGTGAGGTGAGCACGGGCCCAGCCGGGGTGGGGGCCTGGCCTCCTGCGCGGCTCTGCCACCCCCTTGGGGCAAGGGCACCGGGTGGACAGGGCAAACCCGCAGCCATGGGTCTCCTCCCTGCCGCGTTCCCGCTCCGAGTGCTGGCGTGCAGGCTGGCGGCCGTAGGACAGCCGCACTGGGTGGGAAGCCACACAGCCCTCTTCCCGCCCACTTGTGCCATTTCAAAAGTTAGTTTGTAATCATATAACATACAGTAAGACCTGCTGTGTGGGGTGCGGGTGTGCGTGGCGTCGTGTGGGTGATCTCTAGGCATACGCATCAGGAGTGAGCGGTGGAACAGGGCTCACCCTCTCCCTGCTCTTTTCCTCTGCCCCTCAGCGGGCACCAGAGGTGGCAAATCCTCCACCGCCATTCCCAGGGCATGTGGGCCCTGGGCCCTGGGGCTCGCCGCGCACGTGTGCCTGTCCACAAGGACATCTGGTCAGCGCGTGCGCATGCACGCACGATGGAGTTGGGCAGAGGTGCATGGCCCGGCACCGGCACTGCGGGCAGTGGGGTCTTGTTCAGTGCCGTTCATGCTGAGGTGGCCAGGCCCGCATAAACCAGAGCTCCGCGGGCCGGCGCCGCAGGGCACGGCGCTCTGCCCGAGGTTTGTGCTGGGCTCCCCAGGAGGAGCTGCTGTGGCCCTGGAGCGGAAGCCCAGGGCCCATCCCAGCCAGGCGCCCCGCACCCCCCCATCTGCAGTTTTGTTTATTCAAGCCCACTGTGGCTCCAAAGCACTACGTAGAAATGATCTGTGCACACCATTTAAAGGGTGTCCTTTTGAGCAGCATGAGGTTTGCGATTGTACCCTCCCTGCCTGCCCTGCTGTAGCCATCCATGTGCATGGTCTTGGCCGTCAGTCTGGGTGGGCATCACGGGGGCATGATGGGAGGGAGGTGCCCGGGGCACAGCATGGAGGGTGGATGGACTCGGGATGTGTGGAGGGGCAGCGTGCAAAGCGCTTGGTGCTACCTGTGACTCAGCCTTCTCTAGGGCTTTTGGAAAGAAGCTGTCCTGGCTGGTGTGTGCATGCATATATGTATGTGTGCATGCATGCAGATCTACGTCTGTGTGTGCCTGTATGCAGATCTACACCTGTGTGTGCATGTATGTGGATCTGTGCATGTGTGTGCATGAATGTGGATCTACGCCTGTGTGTGCATGCATGCAGATCTATGCATGTGTGTGCATGTATGCTGATCTACGCATGTGTGTGCATGCATGCAGATCTACGCCTGTGTGTGCATGCATGTGGATCTACGCATGTGTGTGCATGTATGCGGATCTATGCATGTGTGTGCATGTATGCTGATCTACGCCTGTGTGTGCATGCATGTGGATCTACGCCTGTGTGTGCATGCATGCGGATCTACGCCTGTGTGTGCATGCATGTGGATCTACGCATGTGTGTGCATGCATGCGGATCTATGCATGTGTGTGTTGCCCCCTCCTGGACATGGTGTGGCATGACAGTTACCGTGGAAAATGAGTTTTCACCTGCTTCTGGGGTTTTGCTTTGAGCTTTTCAAAACCTTAAAACACAAAGACCTATTCCTCTCCTAAAATCGCAGGCTGAGGGCTGAGGCTGTAGCTCAGGAGCAGAGCGCTTGCCTAACATGTGTAAAGCCCTGAGTTTAATCCCTAGCACATAAAAAAAAAGTCCAGATAAGCCTGCATGGCTCCGAGGACAGGGAGCTCAGGGAGCTCTCCCGCTCTCCCCGCGCTGTCCACGGGGTCTGGGTGCTGCTCTTCCTCTGCACTGAGACTTTGTGAAGCTGTTGCTGAGCCGAGCACCCCATGCTGGCGGGGCAGGAGGTCTGCGCTGACCCAGGGGTCGGATGCTGCAGTTGACCACCTTCAGTCCCCATTGTAGTTCCAGCTGACGAACTGAGTCTTGTTAACAGTAGAAGTATTGGGAAGTCCTAATACAAGGGGTTTTCTCTTGGCATACTGGGGTTTTCTCTTGGTATACTGGGGTTTTTCTCTTGGTATACTGGGGTTTTCTCTTGGTATACTGGGATTTTTCTCTTGGTATACTGGGGTTTTCTCCTGGTATACTGTGGTTTTTCTCTTGGTTTACTGGAGTTTTCTCTTGGTTTACTGAGGTTTTTCTCTTGGTATACTGGGGTTTTTTCCTTAGTTTACTGGAGTTTTCTCTTGGTTTACTGGGGTTTTTCTCTTGGTTTACTGGGGCTTTGAACTCAAGGCCTCAAACTTGACAGGTAGGTATTTTGCCTATTTCTTGAGTAGGGTCTCATTCCGGGTTGGTCTGAGAGTGAGAGCGCAGTCCTTCTGATCTGAGACTTCTGTGTAACTTGGGATGCCAGGCCTGCAGCACCATGCCCAGCTAGGGGTTGAGAAGCGGCTCATGGACTTTCCTGCCCCGGTTGCCTTTGAACTTTGATCTCAGCCCTGAGTATTGAGAATCACCAGCTGGAGTGAGACCCCTGTGTCCCGCTTTCCTGTCACTCAGTGCAGATGGCTCAGGCCTTGGCTGTACCTTTGTCAAAGCACAGTTCACCAGCAAGGACAGCTCCCCGACGTGCATGGGGATATCTCCCGGACGCTGCTTGCCCGCAGGACAAACACCAAACAGGACCCTTTGGGTGGGCATGCCGCTAGCCCGGTACTCACAAATCATCCAGGTCAGAGAGGGAGATTAAAGTGCTGCGATTGAAATACTGTTCATATTGGAAACAGGTAGAGAAAGACAGTGCCGATTACTTTTGCATCACAGGGTGAGATACAGGCCGGACGCAGGGGTGAGACTGATCCGCCTCATGCTGCAGAGGTTTCTTTCTGTCCGTGGCCGGCTCCGCCCCTGAGCCGGGGTGAGCGGACACGCTGGCACATGTGGCATGGGGGCAGCCGGGAGGAGCCGGGCCCAGAGCCCCCTCTGAGGCCCGGCGGCCCACGTCCTCCAGCCAGACCCAATTCCCGGCCTGCCTCCCACAGTCTGCTCCAGCTTTCACTCCATCCATGGACTAAACCATTAATTAGGTCAGAGTCCTCATCGTGGTAATCCCCTCCCAGACGCCCAGAGGTGAGCCGGCCAACCTCCCAGACAGGCATCTCTCAATCCGATCAAGGTGGCAAAGACACCTCGGTCAAGGCTATTTCCAAAGGGCTGTTCATTCTCATTGGGGAGGCCAGTGCTCCTCCAGCAGGGGACCAGAGGGGGCTGTGCCCACGGCCCCAGTATGGACGCACTGCGTGGCCTCTCGGTGGCACTGGTGGTGCCCATGAGACTCTAATGTGTGCACCCTGCGATTACTGGGGCTCTGCTGGGGTTTACTGTTGTTTTTCACTCGTGGGGCTTGAACTCTGGGCCTGGGTGCTGCCCTCAGCTCTTCAGCTCAAGGCGAGCGCTCTACCACTTGAGCCACAGCGCCATTTTCGGTTTTCTGGTGGTTTATCGGAAATAAGAGTATCACAAACTTTCCTGCCCGGGCTGGCTTTGAATCATGATCCTCAGATCTCAGCCTCCTGAGTAGCTGGGATGCAGGTGTGAGCCGCCCGCGCCCGCAGGGCCTTGCTGGTGCTCGCTGGCCGTGGCGCGCCGTGGCCATTGGAGCTCTTCTCCCTGGACAGGAGGTTCCCCCTGGAGGACATCCCAGTGGATGAGAAGGGCGCTGCGCAGTGGCTGCACAAGCTGTACCAGGAGAAGGTAAGAGGCCGGCCCGCAGGGCGGCGCCCGCCTCCCCCGCTCTGGTCTTCCCAGCGACAGGCCAGGGGAGGGTATGGACGACCACACAGTGATGGCGGAGCACTCTGCTTTCAACACCTACCACACTAGGGCCCAGGCTGACATTGAACTTTCACCCCTCCTGCCTCTTCTCCCAAGAGCTAGATCACTGGCACACATCACCACACCCAGGGTTGTTTCTCTTTTATGTGAAAGCAACTGTAGGCTTAGAACAGAGGAGATCTCCTTGCTCGCATCATGGATACCATAGTAGGTAGCGCCTGGAGGGAGATTCTCCCGTCCCTCCCACTCCCTCCTCCCACCCTGCTGATGGGCATGTGTCACCACACCTGCCGCGGACCGGGTTCTGTCGGGACGACGGAGGATACCTAGGGGAGGAACCTGGAATAGGATGGGGAGATGGCAAACAGACAACTCACACACAAGAGGAGTGGATGCTGAGTGCTGAGTGCGATTTAATGCAGAGAATAGTAAACTTTTATAACAGAAGTCTTCATGAGAAAGGGCAAAAGGTTACACAATCTTGCTGCATGGCTTCATTTTTAGGTGGTCACCAGCTGATCGCCTGACAGGCACTTGTTTCCGGCTTATCTCTAAGGAATACAATGATTACGACGTTTGTCACCAATTAACCATTATCTGTCTTTACAGAGGTCTTAACTTTCCCAAATAGATCTTTCCTGTTTCTTCTTTAATAGTAAACCTCAAAGAGACCTTTATCTAGCAATTCTTTAGGTCTAACAATTCTCTTAGTAAATAGCAGGAAATAATTATCTCAGCAATTGCCATACATTCTTTCTGTTCTAGCCGCGCCTACAGCTTCTTGTACATCCCTTACAAACAATTCCTTCTGCTGAAGTGACTTTGTGAAACCCCCAATACTTTTATATTTACTTATAACTTGTCTACTAAACTCCATAAGAGGGGTTTCAGGGTAGCACATAACTCTGGTGAGTTAGTCATATTTTTTAGGACACTCATCAGATATTGGAGTCGTCAACACTCTTCAGAAAGAGCTTTGTATAAGGGAATACTGACAATGAGCAAGTACAAAGAGCAGTAGAAGCAGTAAAAGATTAATAGGCACTCTTATGAGAAAGAAAGGCAGAAGCACATTTTTTCCAGGGGTTTTGCCAGCCTTTTCCCAGGAGTAGGCCTCTTAGAATCCCTATTCTCCGAGGTAGACTTCGGTGAAGTCCCATAACTTGGAGATAGGTTTCTGTAAAGCCCCATTCTCTGAGGTAGACTTCGGTGAGTCCCAAAACTCAGAGATAGGTCTCGAGGCCCCTATCATGGTCTGATAGATGGTTTCCCATGCTAAGCAGACTCTACTGGGGTCGGCGTGGCACACACCCACATGATACTTGAGATGGAGTCTCCTGAACTTTTCCACCCGCACTGGCCTCAAAATAGGATCCTCCTGCTTTCAGCCTCCCAAGTAGCTAGAATTACTGGAGTGAGCCACCAGCACTCAGCCTTTGGTTCTGAGACTGTTCACAGTGACATAGATTCACCTCATGCCCTGTCAGTGCTGTGGGTCTTCTACCTGTGGTGATGCCCTTTTCCCGTCTCGTGGGGGCTGGGCACTGTCTTAGCAGATCTCCTCTCTGGCGTGGGGTCGGTGGGTGGACGTGAGGGAAGGTTCTGTGGAGAGGCAAGGCCCCTCCCCGCATCTGTGCCCACACCCTCTTAGGCTGATTTCCACTGCCTGTCTGTTTTCCTTCTGGACCCTTCCAGGACGCGTTGCAGGAGATGTACAAGGAGAAGGGTGTGTTCCCCGGGGAGCAGATCAAACCGGCGCGCCGGCTGTGGACCCTTCTGAACTTCCTCTGCTGGGCTGCGGTCCTCCTCTCCCTCCTCTTCAGCTTTGTCCTGGGCATCTTTGCCAGTGGATCCCCGCTGCTGATCCTGACGTTCCTGGGGTTCGTGGGTGCAGGTAATGCTCCCGGGGGGCTCACCCCGCCCCCCCAGGGCCGCACCTCCAGCCACAGTGCCAGGCCAGCCAGTGGAGCCCTGCGGAAAAAGGGGCTGAGAAACCGTAGGCCCGGCCCCGTGGCCCCTGTGCGGACCCGCGCGGTGCGCTGCGTTGCATCTGGGGCTTTGTGGGACAGGCCAGGACGGAGGTGGCACTCGCTCCATCAGGACCTGTTTACTCAGCTCCTGCTGTCCCTCGGTGACTTCCCCCGTGCCTGGCCCTGGGCCTCGTGCCTGGCTGGTGAGGGGCGCCCCCTCTCCCCCCCCCCCCGCCGAGTGCTCTGCAGACAGAAGCTGGGGGGGTTCTGTATGGTTCCTGGCAGGCCTGGGCGGGCCTTCCTCCCGCCCCATGAGCTCCACAGGGGCTGGACACGGCCTGGGGTGGGGGGGGGACCTGCCCGGTTTTCTCAGGCCGCATGTTACCATTCTCTGATGTCATTTTGCTCACAACCACGCGGGCACAGCCAAGCGGGCACCCTGCCCTGGGCTGCCCCCTCCTGGCACATAGTGCCAGAGGATGAAGGGGCGGCCGAGGCCGGAGGAGGAAACGCACCGCAGCTCCCGGGCAAAGAGGCCCGTAACCTCTCCTCTCTCCTGTCTTTAAAGCTTCCTTCGGACTCCGAAGACTGATCGGAGTCACGGAAATAGAGAAAGGCTCCAGCTATGGAAACCAAGAATTGAAGAAAAAGGAATAATTAATGGCTGTGATTGAACACACATAACCTGACGCGGTATCTGATTAACTCAATTAAAACAACACACACAGAGCGAGGGGAGAGAGACACTTAGAAACTATTTTTCTTATTAACTGGTGACTAATATTAACAAATAAAACTTGAGCCAAGAGCAGAGATCTCAGAAGGCCCGCCCGGTGAAGACAAGTCAGCGTGCACACGCCGGCCCCCTCCGCCCAGCACGGGAAGAGCCGGGCGTGGAGGGGGCGGCCGGGCGGGGAGCCGGGGGCCCCGGCGCCAGCTCTGGCCCGCACTGCTTCCAGGATGGAGCCTCGGGCTGCTTTCTCTTCTGCTGCTTAGATGGAGGCTTTCGTTTTCAGTCAGTTAGCGTCAGGAATTGAACCTGGCCTCTTACCTCTTGCCCTGTGCCCCCAGAATGCCAGCTCTCCAAGAATCCCGCTCCGGGCGTGGGCCACGGGTCCTTGAGAGCTCGCTTGGCTTCCAGCCTGGGGGGTGTGGGGGGGACACCGAGGTGATAAGCACACGTGGACGTCAATCAGCCTGACCCGCAGGCCCCGCCCACCGCCCCACCCACCGCCGCCTCCCCAGCGCTCTCCGCCCCGCCCCCTTAGCCTGTGTGTAAAGACCTTGAATTTATTTTTAAAGTGAATGGCCCCAAGAGCTCTGTGAGATGTGGAGTCCTTCCTGTTCCCACAGCGCCTCTGTCCTTCTATCCTCTCTCTGCGGTGAGCAGGCCCCCCTGGGCCGGGCAGGGCTGGGCCGGGCTGGGCAGCCACCCTGGACCCCGCCCCTTAGAGGGCCATGGCTGCCGGACTGTAGGTGCTTTTTAAGAGGCACCGGTGGCTCACGCCTGTCATCTAGCTACTCAGGAGGCTGAGATCTGAGGATCGCTGTTCAAAGCCAGCCCTGGCAGGCTGTGAGACTCATCTCCAATGAACCACTAGAAAACTGGAAGTGGCACTGTGGCTCAAGCAGTAGGGTGCTGGCCTTGAGCTGAAGAGCTGAGGGACAGCGCCCAGGCCCAGAGTTCAGGCCCCACGACCAACAAAAAAAAAAAAAAATCGAGTCTCCCTGACACCTCCATGTTCAAAAGCTGACCCAGACCGTGCTTCTGGGCCTTTGGAGGGCACTTTTACTGGAAGCTTCCTCTCCTCCACCTGGTGCACTGCCCTCGGGGAGGGCCTGCCTCTGTCCAGGCAAGTGTTACTGTGGCCCAGCCCCCGCCCGCCTCTGTGGCCTTGCGAGAGGACCCATTGGCCTGGCACCCGGGGCAGCTGGAGGCCCTCCAGGGAGCCTGGTCCCCCCAGCCCGCCTCACACTGTGGCTCCACCTGTGCTCCGCTCTTCTCTGAACCGACTCCTTCACGGTCATACAGGCTTGTTCCCAGGGGGGTTAGTGAGGGGGACTCGGGTGTTGTGGTGTTGTCTTGGCTCTGCAACCGGCCTCCTGAGTGCCGAAGGGCAGGGAGGTGGGGAGAGCACAGGGCAAGTGGAGGAGCTGTGGCCTGTGTTCTGGGCCGTGCAGCAGATCCGGCGGGAGCCTGGATTCCCCGCAGGATCTCTGGCGCTGCCGACCTCCTGCGTGGGTGTGGGTGGGAGTGGCGGGGGAAGATGCCCCAGCTCTGTGCTGGCTCACCCGTGACAGATGTGAACGAGTGTGGAACCCTGTGAAGGGAAGGAAACACTACCCCACCCCTTCCTGGCCTCGGCAGCTCCCAGGGGGTGGGGGCGGGCCACTGCTGGCTTTCTCCTCCTTCACAACCCCTGTCCTTCCCAAACTCGCCTGCATCTAGAAAACCTTAAAGGAAAAAGTCAGAGAGCACGACTGTGCAAGCTCCACCCTCTTCCCCAGGGAACTCCCTCTCTTTGACATTCTCTGTGCGCAGGGCGGGTGTGCGCTGAGTCCATGAATGAGTGAAGAGCGGGGCGCCAGCCAGGCCTCTCCGCTGGCCCCCAGGACCGCAGTGGACATGTGAATCTGAGCACTCAGCCTTCTGAGAGCAATAAAAAAAAAAACCCTACACCATGAATGTTGGGGGCTTGGGGGGGGCGGGATAGGTTTTGCTTTTCCTCTGATTCAGAAGGAAAGGGAGAGTGGAGTGGCCCTTTGATTTTTAAAAAAATGAATAAATCTCAGAATAGTGCTTTTCTCTTTTTCCTTGATACTTACACCCGAGCACATCCATAGCCGATGCTCCACCCAGGGCCAGGCGGGATTGGAGGCCTAGACTGAAGCTGAGCACAGGGCGGTGCTCTGGGGGAGAGTGCTCCCCCCCGCCCCCCCCCCCAGGCCAGCTCAGCTTGATGTGTGATCTCTTAGATCACACAGGCCTAAGCCTGGGGCATGGATTCACCACCAGTGTTCATGACCTCTCCACAGCTGTCCTGCCGTGCCCGGGCTGTGGCATTGCTGGGGGCGGGGGGCGGGGCTGCCCTGCCAGGTCTGGAGCTAGAGAGTTCCAGAGGTGTCCGGAAACAAGCTTGGCTCCTGCCGCAGGAGGCAGGGTGGTGGGGAAGCATTCACAGGCCAGAAGCCGGGTGGTCTGACGTGGCTACTGGTAGATAAGACCTAAAGAGAGAAACTCCTCAGTGGAGGGGCTTGCTGAGCCCAGCCAGGTGCGCCGTTTGAGACAAGGCACAGCCTTATCCTGAGCAGGTGAGCAATGAGCGCCGAGTCTGTGATCGCCACAGCAGCACTTCCTCCTTCGAAAAAACACGAGGCTTACGGCGGCCAGCCGTGTGGACTGTCCCGATCTCCGTGTGCTCCACTTGCACAAGCCCCTCCTTACGCCAATCCAGCCAAGGTGTTGCTGGGCCCTGGCCCTGGCTGAGAAGCCCGCGGGGAGGAGCCGGTCCGGGCTGTGGCCACGCCCAGCCACGCCCCTCAGGACTACCCAATGGTGTGAGGTGCGGGTGAGGAACGCGAGGCTCTCTGCACGTGGCTTCGTCTCCGCTGAGGCTTCTAGGATGAGCAAGTGTAATCTCAGTCCTGCTGACTTTCATCTGGGATTTCTTCCTCGCCAGGCATCAGCTCGTGATGCCCCGCCACCAGCTAGCTGCATGCAGCCCTGCCGAGCAGCCCTGATCGCCCGGCCGGCAGCGAGGCTTCCAGCCCTCCACGCAGTACCTGGCTCAGGGTTAAAGTGATGAGCTTGCAAAGCCTGTCTGCCTTCTGTCTGGGAACAGCATGCCCTGGCCTATGGGCCAGCCCCAACCAAAGGCAAGCACCACACAGCCCTGGGCTCAGACAGAGACACCCCCGCCCGGCCCTGCCGTGGGGCTGGCAGAGCCAAGCACTGACACGCAGCCTCCAGGCTCTTGTATACTGGTGTCCGGATGCAAAACCACAGGGTTCAGTTCTGGGTAAATGTCACACTGCAATCCGCTTTATGGAGTGCAGTGGGCCCGTGTGAGTTAGGTTTTGTGACGTGGTTGTGGCTGCTGGGTCCGGGGAAATGGGGTGCTCACAATCAGCTCCAAGAAGCCAAGAGGCGCCAGAGGAGCCAGCCTGGCGGGGCCACCGGCTCCACTGGGGCTGAGCTGCTGGGAAGCTGTAGGCTTCGTACGGACAAGGTTGCCTGGAGGCTTCTTATCTCCTGGCTTTCTCAGTTTCCTAACTTCTTTGGCAAAGGCAATTGGCCAGAAGTCCAGGTGTGAATGGGTGTGAGACGCACTCGGTTGCATTCAGTTAAGCTGGAGTGACTGCACGCGGTGCGGAGATGCATCACTCTCTTGTAGCGTGCGTCTGCGGTGGCACTCGGTCCGGCCATCAGTCAGGAGCTCTGCAGCCTCTTCACAGATGAGCTGGGCTCCGGAACTGTCCGGGACGCCCCATCTCTGAGACCCCATGCATTGCAGACATTCATAGTTCTTTATTTATTACTGGAAAAAGTACTGCCATGGCTGGCTGCTGGCTCTTTTCGAAGGGTTGCGTTGTTTACAGGGTACAACTGTATTATAGGGTCGTTTCCTTTTATATACTTCCTTTTTACAAGTTTTGCTACTCACAGCGTTATGTAGTGGAGGGTGGAAATGGCTTCTATCTGCAGAATGTCATTTGGATTGGGGGTGGAGAGGCTCTCTGAGACCATGTAGATGGTGTCTCCAAGAGCTGTGGCGTGTTACAGGCGGTGTCCCCCAGGCCTGGCCAGGCCGCGTTTGGGAAGATCTCTGTGCAGAGGCTGGGTGGGGGGAAAGGGGAGTACAGGACCACGGGCACTTCCTGCCCCTTGAGGCCCACCTCCTGCAACCCCTACTGCTCTCTGGTGCCAGGTGCTTTCTGGAAGGGAACTGGGGGGGGAGGGGGGAGATAACCCAGCAGAAGGCAAGGGAGATCTGAGCCCTGAGAGACCATAGCCTTGATTTGTTTCAGGTTTTCCAAAAGCCATCAAGGACAAAATGCTTTTCCAAAGTAGGAATGTGTTATGTCCCAAACTATTTTTGTAAAATTCATTCTGTGGAAGAAACCAAGGAGCCTCTTTCCTTCTTTATTAAAAGACAAAACAAAAGCCTTGTTGGAACCAGAAGATGTCCCAGGTTCTCATGTGTCTGTCTTCCAAAAATAAATTGCACTATATGAACCATAGTGTTGTCCTGCTCTGGAGAATGGCCCCTGATGATGGATGTGTTTTTCCGCCCCGGGGTCACCTCCTGCCCGGGGCCGGTGCCCAGCCCAGCATGGGCTTTTGGGTTCCATGGAAAGCTCTGCAAAGCTCCCTCCCGCCCCCCTGGTGCCCATGGTGCCCGCAGCACGTACCTTCTACCCTGGAGAAGCTCCTGGCCCAAGGGATTCAATAAAGCCCCTGCTGGTCCTTGGAGGAAGCTGAGTGTCAAGCTCTGCTCTGCTGCCCAACATCGGCTTTTCCTCTGCCCTGGGCCTGGGGTGGGCCCTGGTGAGCTTGGGAAAGGTCTTAGCCACCTGTGGCACAAGAGCCTTTGCCGTTCACATCCAAGTACACACATGCACGTGCACACTCGCACAGCAGATGCTCACTTGGCATCCGAGCCCCGGGAGAGGTTCAGGCACCCACCAGGGCAGAGGCTGAAGGACAAGCCTCCAGCCAGGACAGACGGACGGCTGAGCGCCTCTGCTGCCCCTGATTGCTCTCAACCTCGGAAGCTCAGGAGTGGACAATGTCACAAGCCTTCTGTCCAGATGCCGCCAGGGGCTTGAAGTCCCTGCAGTGCAGCCTGCTCCGGGTCTGCACCACCATCCGGGTCTCGAGGTGAGGGGAAGCACCAGCCCCGCCCTCCATGGGCCACCACCACGGGGCAGAACAGGGAAGGGAAGGGTTGGATTCTCCATAGCACTCGTAGGGCCCAGGTCCAGGGCTCATCCTGTGCCCCTCAGTTTTCTGGTCTGTGGAATTGGGATGCTGATGAGGAGGACTAACCTAAGTTTTGAGTGTTGGATACAGCAGATACCAAACAAGCCAGCACCCCTGAACAGCCCGGGAGGCACTGCCCCTGCACTGGGCACTGGCCTGGAGTGCCCCCTTCCCACCCCACTTGGAGGCAGACAGCTCTGCTCCCGGCAACGCGGGTCCTCCATTGTTCTGTCACCTTTGAGCCTCTTTTGTATTGGGTTTATTTTTCTAAGACCCAGGACATTTGAGGATCAGTGCTTTTATTTTTTTCTTCTTCTCCTTTTTGTTGCTGG